GATGGGACCTTGATGCTGCTTAGACATTCGAACATGCTGTCCCTCTCTTCTTTGCTAAGCGTGTAGCTAGCAGGACTTAAGTAATGACGTCCATCATCTATCTTCTCTGGATGAAGGTTGTCTCATTCTTTCATGCCCTGCAAGTCCTGGCGTGCTTCAAGTGAATCCTTTGGCTTCCCGTACACACCCATGAATCCTAACAGGTTCACACAAAGATTCTTTGTCAGGTGCATCACGTCGATTGCGTTGCGGACCTCTAGGACTTGCCAATAGAGTAGCTCCCAAAAGATGGACTTCTTCTTCCACATGGGTGCGTGTCCCTTAGCATCTTTGGGAACAGATTCACTGCCTTGTCCCTTTCCAAATACTACTTTCACATCCTTGACCATTGCGAGTACATCTTCCCCGGTTCGGTTATGAGGCTTTTTCCGGTGGTCTGGCTTACCTTTAAAATGCTTCCCTTTCTTTCTTACTTGGTGATTCAAAGGAAGGAATCGACGATGGCCAAGGTACACGACCTTTCGACATTTTTTCAAATATATACCGTCAAGGTCATCAAAACAATGTGTGCATGCATTATATCCTTTGTTTGTCTGACCTGAAAGATTACTTAAAGCAGGTCAATCATTGATTGTTATGAACAACATTGCTTGTAGGTCAAAGTGTTCTTGTTTGTACTCATCCCAGACACGTACACCTGGTTTGTTCCATAAAACTAGAAGTTCTTCAACTAATGGCTTCAGATAGACATCAATATCGTTGCCAGGTTGCCTCGGACCTTGGATGAGGATCGGCATCATAATGAACTTCCGCTTCATGCATAACCATGGAGGAAGGTTGTAGATACATAGAGTAACTGGCCAAGTGCTATGACTAGTGCTCTGCTCTCCAAAAGGATTCATACCATCTGTACTTAAGGCGAACCTTAAGTTTCTAGCCCCATTTGTAAACTCTAGAAATTCCCTGTCTATCGCTCTCCACTGGGACCCATTAGCTGGGTGTCTCAGCATATTGTCTACCTTATGGTCTTCTTTATACCACCGCAACAACTTTGCATGGTCTTTATTTCTGAACAAACATTTTAATCGTGGTATTATAGGAGCATACCACATAACCTTGGCAGTGATTTTCTTTCTAGGACGTTGTTCACCCTCGACGTCACCAGGATCATCGCGCCTGATCTTATACCGCGATGCTTTACATACCGGGCATTCATCCAAATTCTCGTATTCATTGCCATGGTAGAGGATGCAGTCATTAGGACATGCATGTATCTTCTGGATTTTTAATCTCAAAGGGCAGACAACCTTTTTTGCTTCGTACGTAGTGGTGGGCAATTCATTTGGCTTCGGAAGCATCTTCTTTATTAGGTTCAATAAATTCCCAAATACCTTGTCGGATACACCATTCTTTGCCTTCCACTGTAGCAATTCCAGTGTTGTACCCAGCTTTTTTTGCCCCTCTTTGGCCGTCGGTTATAGCAACTTTCTATGATCCTCAAGCATGCGCTCAAACTTAACTTTCTCTTTTTCACTTTCCCATTCTTGTTGTGCATCGTGAATGGCATCGCCAAGAGCATCACCGAGATCATCTTCTATCGCTACCTCTTCCTCATCTCCCCCCATTGTAGTATCATCAAAGGCACCATACTGAGCAATAATGTCATCAATGTCTAAATCTTCTCCTTCACCTTCTTCCATCATGACCCCGCTTTCTCCATACTTAGTCCAACATATATAGTTTGACATGAAACCTGACTTAAGCAAATGTGAATGAAGACTTATTGAGCTTGAATATTCCTTTAAATTCTTACATAGGGCACATGGACAAATTTTGTGAAACCATCCCGCTTATTTGCCTCGGCCACACCTAAGAAATAGTGCAAGCCCTCAATAAAGTCTTGGGAGCGGCGATCGGCATTGTACATCCAATGGCGTGATATAATCAGATTACATACGACAAATTATGAAAACCTTGAACATAATTAAGTATTTTATTACACAACATAGATGACACACACATGGTTGATTAATTAACTAAGCTCGGCTACAACGTAAGCAATCCCAACTATCACTAAACAAACTAAAACTACAATGCACTTCAAGAACATAATTATTTCGTGATCGTGACGCAACTAAAATAGACAAATCATTCTTCCGTTGAATATCAATAAGCTTCCTCGCCGGCTCATTGCCTCATCGCCAGCAAAATTAATTCTGCATGTATGTAGCATAATCTTCGTCCCAAAGACCAACCATCGCATCCATTGCCCTCCCACTTTGAAATTAAAGCCAAAAATATTTAGTCAAAAATATTCAAGAAAAGCGAGTCAATTAGCCATAATAATCAAATGCGTAAGAAACTCACATCGCGATCCGGGCTCTTGTAGAAAACACGACCCTTGTTGGGTCCTTGTCTCTTGACTCGGTACTCCATCATAATCTTTTGCTTACACTTGCCGCAGATAATGAGATGGAGTTCTGCCCTCGATCGCTTCATAACCGAACGAGAGGCCGAGGATCCCAATACCAGCTTGTCATCTACTTTCTATACTTATTTTTGCAAACTCTCATAAATTTCACATTTTCTAAAATAATATATTTAAACAAAACTAAAATTATTTATTTATCTAACTAAACCATGAAATATGTACTATATATAATAGTAAAATACCAAACTATCAAGTGATTTTACTATTGTAAATCATCATGTGATTTTGAGCTAAAAATGACATAGAAATCACATAGCTCAAAAACATGTTTCAATAAATAACCATCCATACTAGTTGACCTTGCTTACGTGATCATCTCGGCGAGCATTTCTCCACCGGACGGCACCGTACTTGGCCAAGGAAGAGCTCCGATTCTACGAGGAAGGGAACACGGTCTTCCACGACCGCTGCCGCTCTCCTCGTAGAATCAAAGCTCCTCCTTGACGTCTGCTACCGCTTCGGCAGAGAAAATGCTCACGACATGATCACGGTCCGCAAGTTCAACTAGTACGGATTTTCTACAATTTTCTAACTATTTTCTAAGTTTTTCATTTCATGGAAAAATTAATTCTAAGATCACGTAAGCCATGGGGGCGAGGATGGCGCGTGCTCCAAATGAGGACGAGCGAGGCGTGATTTTGATGAACTAATTTAACTTTTGTTTATCCAAACATATATGCAAATCATCATGTGATTTTGAGCTAAAAATGACATATAAAATCATAATAAAGTCCAACATATAAAGTTACATATGCATCTACATCGCAAAATGAGATAAGCTACTGATAAAACATAAGAGGATTAAGTTTGTTACCTCCAAAATCGAAGAGCAACACCAATGGGGGAGAGAGCAAGAACAACAAAGAAGTGAAGAACAGAGGCGGTGAGTTTGAATGGAATGGCTCGGGGATGAAGAAATGAGCCGGTGTATAGACCGGCATAATTAGTCCCGTTAGGTGGCCAAACCGGGACTAAAGATTAATATTTATTCGGGGTATCACCCAAACCGGGACTAAAACCTTTAGTCCCGGCTGAAGTATTACGAACCGGGACTAAAGGTTTATCTTTAGTCCCGGTTGGTAATACCAGCCGGGACTAAAGATCCCTGCCACGCGGATGACCGTTGGGCAGGAACCTTTAGTCCCGGTTGATATTACGAACCGGGACTAAAGGATCCTTTAGTCCCGGCGGTAAAAAATGCCGAGGCTAATGCCAAATTGGAACATCGTTCTAAAGTCTATTCTCTAGTAGTGAATATATGCCCTCCGTGCTTGATGATTAATAATAACACTCCATGTTGTCGCCTACTTTGGTTTTCTGTTTGAACTTAATTAGAATCGTACGTTGAACTAGAAGAGATTAACAATAAGCTGGTAACATTGTAATGCAGAGGCCGGAATTTTTCATTTTCTAAAAAAAATGATGAGATCCGGAATAATGTTCAAAAAGAAAAGATAGATACGCTTGGTTCTGTGTTTTAGTATTGCCTATGTGTTTATAAATGCAGGTTGTTCTAATTTGGTTTTGTCCTAACTAGAAAACTCTCTTTAACTTTGACCAATTAAGACATAATTTAAGAAATAAATTAATACAGAGTTTTAGATATTAATATATTTTTCATGTAAAGTTAAAGGTACCCAAGTTTAATTTGACTTAGGACAAAAGCTTAAACAACCGATATTTTTAGTACTGGGGGTAAAAGTGAACCCATTCGTCGAGATATAATATATGGACGTTAAAATTGTCCTCTTCTACATCTTTAAAATTTATTAACGCATGCATTTGCACTAGACATACCACACTCTGGCCTCTATTCTGCCAGTCCAAATGGGAACGCGCGAAAGATTGAGCACATTAATAAATGTGCAGCTCACGACGAGCACAAGCACGAGGATATTATTGTTTATAAATACTTTGCATATAGTGGCCCTTATCAGCGGAATTATTGCCAAATATTCTTGACACTAGCTCTAATCAGGAGCCGGAAACCTGTTAGGTTTAGTTCATTGGATGCAAGGTTGGCTTGGATTTAGGCATTGTGAAGATCGGAGTGATCAACACCTCGAACAAGACACTAGAGCTACCGTTGAAAACCTACAAGACATGCTACAAGTCCAAGACACCAAGTAGAACAAGCCCGGAAGCGAAGACACGAAGAGAAGGAGCAAAATGAATTCCAGAAGGCGTCGCTGTTGTAATTCATCTGGCTTCGATGGATGTCACCTCTGGTGGTTGCCCTTCAATTCTCGGTGCCCGCTTGATGTGTGGGGGTTGGTCTTGTAGCGTAAAGTCGGAGCTGCTGTGTCAAGGGATGTGGCTAGGCAACCATGACACGGGACGAACTTGTTGCCCATCTCTGACATGCGGATCAGACTCCACCAGATCCCATCTGCATATCCCGCCATCACCATGCAAACCATCCTCTATTTATGTACCCCCACGGCCAGTTGGCCATCGCAACAAGCAATAACACTTCATCCAAGACCAAGCCAGGTAGCATCATCTACCAATGGCGGCGACGGCCAAGCTCGTCCTGCTCGTGGCTGCTCTCGTACGTGGGCACCGGCAGCTGCTCCTGCGCCGCATGGGATCTGAACATTATCCGGATGCCCACAGTGCGAGCGATAGAGGATGCCGCGGCCCGTCTCCAGGAAGGCGTGGCCACGCCTCTAATCCACACGCTGCACCCGCTGCTAGGCTCCGGCGGAGACCTGGGCCGGCTCGCAGCGAGCGTGCCGTGCGACAACTGGCGGCTGGCCGTGGAGGCCTACAACAAGCGCGACTGGAAGACGGTGCCCGCCAACTGCGGGGACTACGTCGGCCACTACATGCTCGGCCAGCAATACCGCCGAGACTCCCGCGTCTCGTCGACGAGGCCATTGCGTACGCCGAGGGGCTCAAGCTCGCTGGCAACGGCAAGGAGGTGTGGGTCACTACCGGATCCAGGAACTTTGCCGAGTGCCAGGGGCACTCGGCGAAGCCCCAAAAACACTCGGCAAAGGGTGTGTCGAGTGTTACACTCGGCAAACCCCTTTACGGCAAACGCTAGTTTGTGTTTCTTGTCGTGCACTCGGCAAAGACGTTGCCGAGTGCCCAAAACAAAATCGGCAAACATTTTCGGCAAAAAAAAAAACAATTGCCACCACCAGCCGCCGCCCACCACGGCTGCCACCGGCCGCCGCCTCCTCCAGCGCCCAGATTCGCCACCACGCTGCCGCCAGCACACCCACGCCCAGATCCACGTTGTTGCCCTGCACGCGGCCAGGAGCGGCCACCTCGCCCGTGGATCTGATCACCATGGTCGCAGATCCGCCTGGAGAAGCCGCTGGAGGTGCTGCTCGGCCAGATCCGCCTGGATACGTCGCTGGAGACCGCGCCCGCCCTGGATCCACCGTCGGAGGACGAGCCCGCCCTAGATCCATTGTCGGGAAGCACGCCGATGCTGGATCCGCCGCTAGAGGGCGCACCTGCCATGGATCCGGCCGCCCTTCACCGGATCCATCCACGGGGGGGCGCGTCCGCCATGGATTCGGCCGCCCTCCACCGGAATCCGCCGTCGATCTGCACGCCCGCCATGGATCCGGCCGCCCTCCACCGGATCCAGCCGCCGGGGGGTGCGCCCACTATGGATCCAGCCGGATCCGGGGTGAGGGAGAGGGGCCGCACCCGCCACGCCGCTGCCGGAGGAGAGCCGCGCCCGTCGCACCGGAGAGCTGAGCGAGGAAGAGGGAGAGTGTCGGTGTTTCGTACAAGCACCGGCAAGTGAATTTATAGTAATGCGCGTTAGGCTCGGATGGTGCGCTAAAGGACACAGGATTTATACTGGTTCGGGCGAAACGCCCCTACGCCCGGTTTTCTTGCTGCTTGTGTTATTAGCACCGTAACGATCTGTAGTAAGGGATACAAACTGCCGAGAGAGGGACTGGTCCCAAGTCTCTGATCGAAGGATTGAAAGGTGGTCAAGAGCTTCGTAGCTGCTTGAATGTGTGTGAGTGCGTTCTATTGTTTTGTCCTCCTTTTTCTTCCGTCCCCTTGATGGAAGAAGCGCATCCCCTTTTATAGATGAAGGGGCCGGCTTTACAAGGGTAAGGGCTCCAGGACGCGTACTCTACTTAGTCTTGTGGCTCACGTCTACCTGGTCAGGTCCTCCACTCGATGAGTGCGAAGGAAGATAAGTGTTTACAATGTTGTCGATGTCTCCGTAGGGATGTCGTTTAGTCACGTAATGCTGCCTGCTTGCAGGTATGGGCTCGCAAGATGTTGGTTTTGACTTATGAGCCTCCCCAGTCTTGCTCCGCACGCCTTCGGTTCTCATGAGTCCTCGTTGGGAGAATGCGGGTCGGGGTCCGGTAACGCCGTGGTCAAGGCCTTCCGACCGGGAGGACCTGAGGGTCGGAAGCGGGCGCCGCTCCCCTCGGGTCACACCATGTGGTGACGGAATACCCATCGTTCGTGGAGATAGCAAATCCTTTCCCGGAGCGTGGCGGTTGTCGTATATCTTCGCTTGGGTTCCGTGTCCCAGAGCTGGGCGGCGCCTACAACTCTACAGGTGAGGTGCACGCACTGTAATACCTTTTGGGCTCTGCGGCGCCTGGAAGGGTCTAAAGCTTCATCCCTCGTTCCTCGGCAGTCCTTTTCTCGCCAGTATGCAGGGTATGGTCGTTGGAGCCATGGTTGACCCGAACGTCTTGTCTCGTCCCCTGTACCCATCATTATGAGGGATAGATATCGATCAGGGCGAGGCTCGTTCTGGGCCGTCGGGTGAGGCTGACCCCGCCCCTCCGGGTCGGGCGAGACGGAATTCATCCTCACCCTCGGGCGAGACCGAGCCCGCCCTCAAGGCGTCAGGCGAGGCGGAGTTTATCCTCGGCCCTCGGGCGAGACCGAGCCCGCCCTATAGGCGCGCTCAAGCGAGACGGAGATTAGCCTTGAGCTTTTGGGGCGAGGCGGTTATCCTACAAAGGCGTCGGGTAGGTGACCCCGCCCCTCCCGGTCAAGGCGAGGCGGAATCATCCTCACCCTCGGCGAGACCGAGCCCGCCTCAAGCCGTCGGGTGGGCGGAACCGAACTCCCCCACTCGAACAAGGGATGACATGGAGCCCTTATGCATCTAGAAGTTTTTCACGTTCGGTGGTCATCGGTTCCACCTTCCGGGGTACCTCAGTATTAGGTCCCCGACAAGTAGCCCTCGAGACTCTGGTGATTCGGTAGAACCGCTGGAGGGTGTTTTGATTTCATTTCGTTGAAGCTAATTTGCGGAGGGTGCGCGCGGCGCACTCCGATGGTGTAGCCCCCGAGCCCCGGGTGACTCGAGTAGAGTCGCTCGGGGTTATATCGCCCTTCAGCGGGTAAGGTCAAGGACTTAATTTTTCATCAACTGGGTGTTTTCCGAGTGGGTCGTGGCGTCCCATTTACTGGGACCGATTCGGGCTGTCCTCACTTTGGTGCTTCTACGCCCTTGGTGGCGGATTGTTCGTGGATTCCTTCTTAGTTGGGCGGCCGGCGAGTTCTGGGCCCTAGGTGGGCCAAAGAGAAAAGAAACGGGCCTTTGTGGCTTGTGCTTCCCCGGTGGGTGGAGAGTCCGGATTCGCTTGGGGAAGGCGGACCGTCCGCCGAGATTTTTTTTGGAGATGAGTGGATAGGGACTGCGCGCGCGTGTCCCGCGACGTGACGCGTGGGCGTGCGTGGCGGAACCCGAGATCGAGGCGACGGTTGCCCTTCTCGCGTCCGCCGCCCCTATAAAACAGCTGGGTTCGCCCCGAGGGTCCCGTGTTTCACTCCCTTCCTTTGCGCGTTTCAAACATCCGCCGCCAATCTTCCCAGCCTCTTGCGCCCGCATCGCCACCGTCGACCGGCCTGCGTTTGTGTTTCGGCCGCCGTTAAGCTCGCGCCTGCCCTTCCCCCCTCCTGCTTCAATGGAGTTGTGGGGCAGATCAAGCATCACTTCCGGCGTCTAGAGGGCCTCGTCCCGCCGTGGCCTTCTCCGCCCACTATCCGCCGTCCCAGAGTGGTTACTCCCGGCGACGAGGGTGAGCCGGTGCCGCCTTGAAGGGTATGTCGTCTCCTTTGCCATCTTCCATGAGCGGGGATTCGGGGTACCCGCGCATAGATTTCTTCGGGGGCTATTAGATTACTATGAGGTAGAGCTACAGCATCTCACTCCCAATGGGATTCAGCATATGGCGGCGTTCGTTGCCTCGCAATGCGAGGTTTCTGGGATCGATCCCCATTTTGATCTGTATGGTATTTCTTTAGCATTAGTCTGTCGAAGAGGAAGATTGGGGGGAAAGAAGTGAATGCGCCGATGGGGTGTGCCAGCATTCACCTGCGCCATACCCGGTCGCAGGATTACCCGTACATGCGTCTGGCTACATCCAACAAGGGATGGCATTCGCAGTGGTTTTATGTTAAGGATGATGTGAGTGCCACCCTACCGAAGTACACCGGACGTCTTATTGTGGATGCTCCGGAGTCGTAATAAATCAGGGCGTCGACTAAAGACAAGAAACATATCTCCGACCTTCTCTCCGCCTCCATGCCTCAAGGGTCGGGGTGTAAAGGGGTCGAAATTATCGGCGCCTACCACGCGAGAGGGGTGGCACCACCGATGGCGCTGTGTGCTTCCCCGCATCGGATGATGCCCGGATATCGCTCGAGGGGCGGTGCTCGCTGATTTGAGGCGCCCCTTTATTCGGAAGTGGCGCAGTCGTATCAAGGAGGCGACGGAGCCGACGAAGGATTCCGCCGGCGAGGTCCTCGACATCGTGTATCCGGTGCCGGGCATCCTCCAATGCGGCGGAGCTCGGTTCTTCAATTCGTAAGCCCTCTTCTCCCGCATTCTTTTCTTTCTCCCGAATCTCCTCTTTTTAACACTTGCTTCGTAATGTTGGGGCTAGCCGAGGGGCTAGTCTTCAAGGATAGCCTAGCCCATTGCCGCCAAGGACAAGGTTGTGGCGGCGGTGAATCGACTCGCGGCCGAGCGGGACAAGGAGGCAAAGGAGGAGATGAAGAAGGCGAAACGACTGAAGCAGGAGGCACGGGATCGGGGAGAGGACGTGAGCAGTGAGGATGACGATGATGATGATGATGATGATGACGACGACGACGAGGTAGCCGTCGACGTGGATTGGGGCGTCCTGGAGGATGAGGAGACGCTGACAAGTGGCCACCCACCCGTGCAGGGGCCCTTCGCCTTTCACGCGGAGGGAAGTGAATCGATGAGGTCAGTGGAGGCCGGCGAGTCCGCCTCTTCGCACGGCGTGCCGGCCGAGGACCGGTGGATGGGGAAGGGCGAACCTGTCGCCGCCATCCCCGAGGCGACGATGAAGGGGAGCAGCTCCGGTGCTGCACCCCGTGAGACGATGGAGGGGGACGGCTCCGGTGCCGCGCCCGACGAGACGATGGAGAGGAGCGACTCCGGGGCCGCGCCCGACGAGATGGACCCCCCTGCCCCGGAGCAGGGGGTAGGCATGAAACGGTCCCGCCCAGATGAGCCAGGGCAGGGGTCTGGGGATCCATCCCCAAAACGCTTCCGCCGGCCGAGGACGTCAACGTAAGCTGTTGATTCCTCTGTTTTCATCCTTTTTCCCTTTTTATTTTGACTTAATGGTTATTACCTTTGCGCAGGTTCTTGCGGACGGGTCACCCCCTGGGGCTGGCGCCCAAGAAGAGTCTCGCCCTTCAAGTGGGACAGACGGCGTCGCCTGGAGCCACCCCTGTTTCGGGCAGGAGTGGTGCCGATGTCGGGGCCGCGTTGGCCGAACCGACGGCGTCCAAGGTGGCTCCCACACCCGCGGAGGTTACTGAGCGAGCGGTCTCTTCCGCGGCGGGCGTGGAACAGCCGGCCGAGGACCGCATACCGCCGGTGACGGTGGTCGTGACTGCGCCAAGCCAGGATCAGCCGGACACGGTCGTGGTGGCACC